AGGTATTTGGGCAGATAGATATTTGTGTGTGTGTATTTATCAATCTGTTAGAATTATGCCATTTGAGTTTTGAGGCAGCTGTGACTGATTAAATCAAATCTCGATGCGTCTCTGTTCCTCGTTAAAGGTGATCTCACAGAAGGAGCACAAACTGAATGGAAAAGCGATCGACCCTAAGAAAGCGAAGGCCATGAAGTCCAAAGAGCCTGTGAAGAAGATATTTGTAGGAGGTCTTTCCCCAGATACTCCAGAGGAGAAGATCAGAGAGTACTTTGACGCCTACGGAGAGGTATAGAGAAAGTGTAAAGCTGATAGACGTTTGTAATATATATATATATATATATATATATGTGACAAAACACCACATGATTTACATTTCTATACTTTCCTCAGGTGGAGTCCATTGAGCTGCCAATGGAGAATAAAACAAATAAAAGACGAGGTTTTTGTTTTATAACATTTAAAGAGGAGGAGCCAGTAAAGAAAATAATGGAGAAGAAGTACCACAACATCGGTTTAAGCAAGGTACGGTCTTAAAATGATCCTAATCTGCATGATCCTGCCATCTGACATAAATCATAAATGTTATATACCTTCATTATTTTAAAACAAAAACTGTTTCTGGTGAAATATTGTCAAAGATCTTTGTATTATAGACTTATAAAACCTCATGAAGACAATGTGAGGAAATAGCTTTTTTGTACAAATGTATTAAAACCTATGGAGAGCTACACATGACATGCTGGAAAAACGTTTTAGTGATATTTCCCCCTTGTTTTAGTTAAATTCCTACAACTCTTTCTTAGGCCACAGCTTTATATCACTTTAATGGTACATATCGCAATCTTTTTTTGCCAAAAATCACTTGTTTGCTAAATTAGCATGTGGAAATGCAGTTAAATAAAAGGTACTTCGTTTTATTTGCATGTTTTTTTCTGTGATGTGAGAACTGAGAATCAGTAGTCAGGCTTTATATTGACCCACAACGTTTATTTGTGGGTGAAATGCTCCTGACAGCTTTGACGGTGAATGTTGTTGTCGTTCTGATAGTCATGTGGACCCTGTCATTGTGTCTGCAGTGTGAGGTCAAGGTGGCCATGTCAAAGGAGCAGTACCAGCAGCAGCAGCAGTGGGGCGGAAGAGGAGGATACGCCGGCAGAGCCAGGGGCAGAGGAGGTGCGGCATGCAGGAAAATACAGCACACGAAATAACACCACATTAACGCTTTGATAGAGTGGAGCAAAAACAGAATGTTGGAATTTGGAATGTTGACTTGAAAAAATAATTTACTGAATTGCAATTCAAAGAAATTCCAAATTTAGCGAACAAAACACTTGTATGATTAATTTGGACTACTTCTACTCTGATGTGATAGATAAATGTTTTTTCTAAAGTGATTAGATACTTCTAATCATCTGAACCATATTTTTCTAGACTAATTACAGTAATGAGGTCAATAAACACATCCGTTAACTTTACTGTTGAGCACCACAGAATGTACACCACTTCAGGATAAATTTATAGAAATATCAAAACTTATTTTTAAATAGTTATATACTGAATAAACTGGTGCATGAAGTGCTCTTCCAATGTGATCCATAAAATGAACAATAATTAATTAAATACAATTAAGAATTCTGTACTTGGCATTTTGATCATTATTAATATTTCTGGGAATTGCTTTGTAAACCTTTGGAATTTCTTTAAAGGGTTAGTTCACCCAAAAATGAAAATTCTGTCATTAATTGCTCACCCTCATGTCGTTCCAAACCCGTAAAACCTTTGTTCATCTTCGGAACACAAATTAAGATATTTCTGATGGAATCTGAGAGCTGTCTGACCCTCCCATAGACAGCAACACAACTGAAATGTTCCCAAGTCCAGAAACCTAGCAAGAGATCTGTAAAATAATCCATGTGACATCAGTGGTTCATCCGCAATTATACGAAGCTACGAGAATACCTTTTGTGCGCAAAAGAAAAAATAACGACTTTATTCATCGTATTCGTCTCCTCCGCATCACCCTGTAGCGCCATTTTGGAGAATATCCGCTGGACGTAAACAGCGTATGCTGTTCTGTGTCAGCTGCGTCACACGGATGGATACGCTGTTTCCGTTCAGATCAAATCACAACAACGTAGGAAACAGATCCGGCGTGACGCAGGCAGCTGACACAGAACAGCATACGCTGTTTACAGGGTGATGCAGAGGAGACGAATTGTTGAATAAAGTATTTTTTTTTTCTTCTTTTGCGCACAAAAAGTATTCTCGTAGCTTTGTATAACTGCAGATGAACCACTGATGTCACATGGATTATTTTACAGATCTCTTGCTACGTTTCTGGACTTGGGAACATTTCAGTTGTGTTGCTGTCTATGCAGGGTCAGACAGCTCTCAGATTCCATCAGAAATATCTTAATTTGTGTTCCGAAGATGAACAAAGGTCTTACGGGTTTGAAACGACATGAGGGTGAGCAATTAATGACAGAATTTATTTTTTCATGTTTGTGTGAACTAACCCTTTAAATTTTATTGCATTTTAATTATGTTCATAAAATCTGAATTAAATGTTGTTGTTTTTTTGTTTTGATACCTCAGTCCACTTAGGTTAATGGCACATGTTATTAACGGTGATGTGCGTTTGGCGTCTGTTGCAGGTCCCAATCAGAACTGGAACCAGGGATACGGAAATTACTGGAATCAAGGTTATGGAAATTACGGGAACTATGGCTACAACAATCAAGGCTATGGTGGATACGGGGGCTATGATTACTCGGGTTACAACAACTACTACGGATATGGTGACTACAGCAGTATGTAATACTGTTTGTGAACGCACAGATGAAAAAACTAAGGATATATTGTATCGTGGATTGTCGGTACTCGACCCGGACTATGACAGTTGTGCACTAAATTATCTGATGCTTGTATCATACATGCCTTACGCTTCGAGAGAAATCTCTAGAACACTGCTGCAGTTGCTTTTTGTCCTACAGGGAAGGCTTGCTTGCACAAAGCGATACTGTACATATGTATTATAATAACTATGGTGCTAAATATAGAAAGGGATGTCTTAGCTTCCAAAACACATCTGTCAAAGTGCCTTTGAATCCATTGGACATGTAAATCTGTAGGCCATGCAAGAAATGACTGCCGGAAGGCGGTCGTTTTTAGAAAATAATAAACAGTTTTCAAACTTTCATTCACGCCACAGATCTGTCTCTCTCACCACATTTTCACAATACAGTATTTTGAAAGAATGTTTGAATACGATTAACGTAAGTATCTCGCAAGTGTCACGAAATTGGCTCTAAACCCGAAATTGCTAAGGCTGTTTTCTGTTTTCCGCCTTTCTCGAGCGCTCGTGTGCCAGCACGTTTAACCGTAGATGTCTGCGTTGTTTGTGTTTTGTGCTCCTAACTCTAGATCAGCAGAGCGGCTACGGCAAATCCCCGAGGCGAGGCGGCCATCAAAACAGTTACAAGCCGTATTAACGGGAAACGTGCAGGTATGTTGGCGCGTTGCTCACGCCGACGCGTCTCTAAATCACCATTTGTAAACATTTTTTTTGTAATGTACGTTGCTTAATTTTTGTTTTTCTCTAAAGTTTCACAGCACCCTGAAGTGCTTTACAGTAGTGGTAACATAGAGACTTTTGGCAGTAATGTAACAGCTGGCTTTTGGCTGTTTCTTGCCATTTTTAACTGTAAAAATTAACAGGTACAGTACTGCTAAATGGGTACCAGAAAATAAGGAATTACAAGGAAAGAAAGCCGAAGAATGTTGTCTCCTAACTCTGACATATACCTTGTTTGTACCTGCCAGCGGGAACTTCCTTGCAGGCCATGAGCTGACTTCCCGATTGTCTCAGGCCCGCTCAATGCGGACAGGGTACGAGAGGCGTACGCTCTCGAATGCTCCCATTTGGTATGGTCTTCCAACATCCTGTATACGAATTGTAAAAACAACTACAGCAACAAAAACATAAAAAGGACACGTCAAGCTTTTATCTTCTGTTTTTGTTTTGTGTGTATTTTTATTTGGTTTTTTTTGTATTAAAATGTTCCTCTTAAAACGTCTTGGGATTGGTCTTATGTAATAATATATTATAATGTAATGGCATTTTTTCCAGGCACCATCAAGTAATGGTAAAATATGAGACGAGAGCCGGAATTAAAATTAACTGTTCACTTTTTGAAGGATACGGCTTTCTCTGGACTTTCCAGTGTTAATATGCACTTCTAATCTAATCTTACCTGTAATGCTTGCTTTTCTTTACTTGTAGCTCGTGTAGCTGTAATATCCTGTAGTCCATGAGCTAAAAGCCGGTTTGTACTTGGATGCCGCTGCGCTGGAGAAGTGCTTTTTTTATATTTGTATTGTGTGATTTTCTACTGACAGCGGTGGAAAAAGCTTCACCTGTAAACCGTGTTAATTTCATCTAATGGATTCTCTTTTTAACCTTTTGAAATCTTGGAAAGGTCATATTGTTATGCTTGCTATGCTTTCCTTTTTGTCTTTCAATTTCCACCGATGCAAGGTTGCGCATTAAATGTTACGATTCCACAAGTTTTTAATTGAACACTATTGTATTTGCTATTATTCGATTTCAAAGTCATGTCTTGTCTCCTTGTTGAAATTATTAAAGAATTGGGATTCCTGTACATTTTATGAGTTTGTGTCCTTCTGAAGCGTAATTGCTATTTTCTTTTTTGTTTTTCAGACGGACGAGCGAAACGCAAGCCAACCCTGAGAGGAGAAAACAAGAGGGCCAGACTTGTTAAATATGGAGTTGATCAACACGTTACTACACTTTGGTCGCCATTTAATTCACCAGTTCATTTCAAATCTAAAGGACACACGCTAAAGAATATTTCAAGTGTTATTTCGAACTATAACGTCCAGAATATTTGTTTTTGTGTGTAATTTGTTGTAGCTTGTGTACGTTTATAATCGTATTCCCTGCTGTGTTGAGTACAATGAACTATAGAGAGCCCAAATTATTTGTATACAGGTCTATTAATTTATTGCTTACAAGTGCGTACAGAGTGTAGGCCATTTAATATTCATTTCATATGGCAGTATTTTGCGACAGAGTCATGTAAACCATTGGAAAATGCAACAAAATAAAGTGTATGAACCTTTACGCCTGTTGTTTCTGCAGAGATTAAAGTCATAGCTCACCCAAAAATGAAGACTCATCTTTTACTCTCCTTAATGTTAAATATTGCTGCTGTTTTCAATATAACACCAGTAAAGCAGCTTTAAAATAACAAAAAAGCATAATTAGATTTTTCAGACATTATAAGGGAAATTAACTGGGTTTCGAGCACAATTTATAATGCACTATAAAAGTAGTTTTAATGCATTAGTTTTGCCTAGAAATGCAACTTATAATGCCTTGCATGGTCTCATGAATAACTAACCACAGTTATAATACTTCTCTATTTATTCAGAAAGTGTAATGCTTAAAACACAACAAACCCTTCAAATAATAATGCATTTTCTCTTTGGTTGCAATAGTTTATGAAAAGATGTAATGCATTGCAATGCACATTATCAATACATTTATAGTGCATTATACTTAAAGGCTTTAAGTGAAGCGTTACCATTATATTTTGTATAAACATTATTGGATTACGTTTTACAGTCAAATTAAATTTCGGTCGTTCTACTTAAAAATTACGTGTTAAATTCAATGTAATTATTTGTGAAATTTAATAGAAATTTCTGATTGTAAATTGTTTAGAGTAAATCCTACACCATTTCGATTTGAGTAATAAGGACTATACTTACATGGTGCTCATTTTGGAGTGTGATAGTCTAGATTCTCTTTCATTATATTGTTTCCAGTAGGAAAGTAATTCACTTTTGGGTGAACTGTTCCTCTAAAGGCTTCCTTCTGTCATGCAATTATGTTTACACAATAAGTACATGCCAATCAGTATTTCCCATATATAAAATATTATCTATACAGGCCATACATCCTCTTGACAAAGACAGCTACTGACTGATACACTGTAAGGGTTTGAATGTAAAGATACCAAGAAAAGCTCTAAATTCAACCCAGCCCAGGCTAGACTTTTGTCAAGGTATAAAATCAGTTTCACAAGCGCAGAGTGATTTCACAGTAGTTAAAGCATGAGAAATGTTCCAGGAATCCTATGAGTCACTGTCATATTCACCGCTTTAGTGCCGTAATGAAGGTATGCAGGTGTGTAATGAAATGTAATTAGGATTGAAATGGTTTTTGAGGTCTTTGGAATGAATGTGTCAAGCACAGCAGTTAGTCTCAAAGCAAGACATCCTGAAACATTTTTCACTTACAATGAATTCTGTTGCTTTCAGTCCCATTATATTAGGATAACAGCCTAAACAAGTAAAAACCACATAATGCATATGCATACACCCCTGACATATTCGCCCCAGATTTATATAGAATTTTACAGGAAATGTCAAAAATTACCTATACATACATGCATCCAGTTTCTTTCATAGTAAAAAAGTCATTAATGCTTAGTGTACTTGTAATAAAATGGGTTGTATTAGGTGGGAATGACTTTTGTTGCTAACAGGATGATTAAAATGATGATGGCAAGCACTACCACACCAATTATAATCATCATCTTGGTGTTTCTCCACCACATCTTTCTGGCAACACGCGTGGACGTCCTTTGAAACGAGTCAGCCTAGGCAAGATAATTACACAAATAATCAATCGTTATTATTAACAAAAATGAAAAAGAATGTTTTGTGACTGGTTTGATCATCTGGCACCATGTTAAGTTTCACTAAATGCCTTTTTGAGGTCTTACAGAGATCAGCATGGTCAAGAAATGCTACATATTGGTCTCAGTTTTGACCTTGACGGGTCTCAAAGGCTCACCGTGGCCTGCAGATCGTCTGTTTTGCCGATCAGGTCGTCTAACCGCTCTCCTCTCTCCAGGACTTTGTTGATGTTGTCTTTGAGAATGACTTTAACATCATTGACTTGATCCTGAACTTGGTTGAGTTTGCCAGGCGCTTGTGGTTCAGAGTTGTAGTCAGCCTACATTATAACGAGAAAAACAAGATGGACCCAACACAACAATACACAAATAACAATACACATAACCAGTAACGGGGAAAGTTACTTTTAAGGTAATGCATTTTGTCACTCCATGAAATAGTAACTAATTGTGTCAATTTTATGGATTACTTTTTGTACGAGCTGGGCTTGCTTAATAACAAAAAAACCAGAAGTTCTATTTTTGGCAACCGTGAAAGCCCTTCCACACCGAAAGTGAAATGAATAAGCCTCAGGCTGAAGGAAATGCCTCTGCCTCTGCACTTACTCCAGATTTCTCTCAACATGAGGACAGGACAGCCGTCAGTCAGTACATGAGAGAGCAAAGTAAATGGCGTTACTCGTTGAAAAAGTAACTCAAGATATTCCATTGTAAATTTTAAAGTAATGCATTACTAGTTACTTGGAAAAAAAGTAATCTGATTACGTAACTCTCGTTACTTGTATTGCCTTATCCCTAACACTGCACATAACAATACACAAATAACAATACACACGTATCTGTTAAACTTATGTGAAACTTCCTCAGATGTCCAACTAGCTGCCAGAGGGTTTTCCAAAGTTAGACCATTGCTTAAAGGACAGGGTTTCTAGAGAGGCTCGTTCCTGCGAGCTACAACACGAGCGCAAAGGAACAGGATGAAACATGAGAGAACTCATTTGCAAACAGAGCTTCCCCTCCCAGACAGATTGCACATTAACCAGCACCACACTCCCTACTGGCTCCTCACGAGTCTCAACCCTGCGCCGCTCTGCTGACATACACTGTAAACAATTAGTGTGATTTTAACAGTAAAAGACTGTAAAAATGCTACAGTAAAAACCTGTTAACTGGTTAACAGTACGTTTCCATAACAGAGTCTTCCTCCAAGGGGCGCTTAGAGGCTCACAAAGCCGAATCCGTCATTAAAACACGCTCGTATCATCAGGGATTTATCTGTTTTATTTGAGATAAATTGAGATAAATCCCATTTTATTGACTAAAAGCTGATATTACCCTTTACATTTCTTTATTCCAATGATAGTTGCATGATATACAAAGAGAAATACGTTCCAGCAATCTTCATAAAGTGCCAAAACAAGTCCATTTCCAGTAATCAAGTACGATTGTGATTGGTCTAATCTGCGCAGCGCTGAGAAAAGTAACACAAAATGCCATTCCTGTGCACACTGAGAAAGGTTAAAATCGGACAAATATTTATTGACAGACATCAAGCATTTTAGCTGACTAGTTAAGAGGTCATATCAGGGCTTACTTTCGAGTCAATCTCAGTTGTGCTGCCTCTAGCGGCCGCTTTAAGAACTGCAGCGTGAAGTTCCCCTTTAGAAAATCCGTCAGATAAAGTTTTTTAATTCACTCTTTGGCATGAGGACGCTTTAACAGGACAGTGGTTTATGCTTAAAGTGCCCCTATTATGCCATTTTTACGGTTCCTAATATTGTTTTGGGAGTCTCCTACAATAGGATTACATGCATGCAAGGTCAAATGCTTTCGTTTTCTCAAAATATGCATTTAATATCACCTCATTTTCCAGCGATTCTCGAACGATTCGTTCGAAGCAGTTCAAAGATTCAGTCTCTCTAAAACCCTCCTTTCAGTGAGCCTACTCTTCTCTGATTGGTCAGATGGCCTAGTCTGTTGCGATTGGTCTACGGCTTACAGCGGTGTCGGAAACGATACGCTCTAAAGAAAGTATAAACGTCTATTATTTATCACACTTACAGGTTGTGATTCAGTGGAGCAGCTGGTCCAAATAAACAGGATTCTGATCCATCTTTCAACAGCAAGCGAACTCCCCGAGATTGGAGAAGCAGTCGTCAGTAGAATGACGTGTTTGTGGGCGGGGTCAAGTTCGCGGCCGGCCAACATGTAGAACATAGGCGCGCATTATGCAAATGTGTTACCCCATGACGTGTAGCCGTCACTGAAGTGGGATTCAAATTACTCACGACTCGTTTCAGCTGTTCAGAGTCGATTCTTTATTTTGGGAGACAATAACTTTATTTATCGTGCACTTTCAGCTTTACAACTTTCCAGATCGTTTACATTCACATACAGCTACATTACACACTGCATGAAAGGCAATATTGGAAATGGCATAATAGGGGCATTTTAAAATTTATTTTTACTAACATAATTTAATACATTTACATATGCATCATCATCATCATTATCTTAATTTGCATTACTTTAAATATTTTAAAATAGTTTATAATTATTTATTAGCATTGCCATATTTTACATTGAATATCAAGGGGCAAAGTTTATTTTTATTTTACATTTTTAATGCAATTTAATTCATTAAATATTAATAATTCTGTACTCCAAATAATAATATTTTATTATTAACATTATGATTACTATTATACTTTTATTATATTATTACAAAATTATTTATTTATAATTGTATTAATTTCATTTCCTTACTTAAATACTAATTTTATTATTTTATATTTATTAGCCTTTTTTACATTAACGTTCAAGGGGCAAAATGTATTACTTTATTAGTTTAGATTTATTATTAGTTTATTATTTATTATTTATTCTAAATGATAATTAGAAATTTGGTTGTTAATGTTGTTGTTGATTGTTTATTTATTTTATTTTATTCATTTTTTATCATTTTATCAAAATTTATCTTTAAAAATTGTTTAATAATTGTTTATTAGTGTTTACAAATTTTACTTTAAATATCAAGGGGCAAAGTTTTAGTAGATAGAGCAAAACCTAATCCAGGATCAGCCCTCTAGCTGTTATACTCTTTATAAGCAGGAAGCGGAATCCTACCTTTCCTCTTCGAGATAAAAGTGAAGATCTTAGACTAGTGCGGAAATTCCCAAGATCAGATAACACGGACAAGGAGCAGGTTTTGTGTGAATGGGCCTAGAGCAGGGGTGCTCAAACATGGTCCTGGAGGGCCGGTGTCCTGCAGAGTTTAGCTCCAACTTGCCTCAACACACCTGCCTTCAAGTTTCTAGTATGTCTAGTAAGAGCTTGATTAGCTGGTTCAGGTGTGCTTAATTGGGGTTGGAGCTAAACTCTGCAGGACACCGGCCCTCCAGGACCGAGTTTGGGCACCCCTGGTCTAGCCTGTTGTGATTGGTCTCCTGCGTACAACACGTTTCGGAAACTATATGCTTATTTCAGTAGTTCTGTATTTTAGAACGCTCTATAGAAAATATAAACATCTATTATTTATCATACTTACAGGTTGTGAATCAGTGGAGCAGCTGGTCCAAATAAACAGGATACTGATCAATCTTTCAACAGCAAGGGTTTTGTAAATCCCCTTGAACTCCCCGAGATTAGAGAAGCAGTTGTCAGTAAAATTAGTGTTTTGTGGGCGGGGTCAAGTTGTTCGCGGCTGGCCAACTTAGAACCAAAGACTATAATACCCTAAAAAAAAAGGACTTTGGTAGAACATTGGCGCACATTATGCAAATGTGTTACCCCATGACGTGTAGCCGTCACGGAAGTGGGTTTCGAATTACTACCTCTCATCTCTATTTATGTCTCTGCCTGACAAAAGAGTCACTTGTGATTGGTTAAAGTAAATACTAACTCTTTAGCCACGCCCACTAAAGTTATTCATACTGTTTAGACTGTTGAAAAAAACAGCATATGCTGGTTAGGTATGTTTTGAAGCTGGGATGCTGGTTTAAGCTGGTCCATTGCTGGGTTAAACTGGTCCTTTGCTGGTTTAATCTGGTCCTTTGCTGGTTTAATCTGGTCCTTTGCTGGTTTAATCTGGTCCTTTGCTGGTTTAATCTGGTCCTTTGCTGGTTTAATCTGGTCCTTTGCTGGTTTAATCTGGTCCTTTGCTGGTTTAATCTGGTCCTTTGCTGGTTTAATCTGGTCCTTTGCTGGTTTAATCTGGTCCTTTGCTGGTTTAATCTGGTCCTTTGCTGGTTTATGCTGGTCCTTTGCCAGCACATGACCAGCATAAACCAGCATCCCAGCTTCAAAACATACCTAACCAGCATATGCTGTTTTTTTCAACAGGGTGTAAAAGTCGCACTTGGAAGTTTTAGTTGTAGTTGCGTTTATAAAGCTTAGTTTTGTGCAGTCTGCATTCATCATGAATCCCTTTGGTCATAACAAATCAGGAAAAACTTTCCTTTTCACGTCTGAGTCTGTAGGAGAAGGACATTCCGGTAAATATGATACATGTAATGCATAGCCTATTGACATGCAATGAACATTACATTTATTACAGTTACAGTGTTGCACGTTGTATGAATGCGTGTATTGTAATTAATGCTACTTGTACTGTGGAGATAAACATCCTCAGTGTCTGTAGGCAATTTTGATCAGTAGGATAACGCTCAATGAATAATCAATAAATCACACCTTCAAACGAAATATTGATAGGCTACTAATGTAGTTTAATGCCTGTCTTTATTACTGACAGATAAAATGTGTGATCAGATCAGTGATGCTGTTGTGGCTGCTTACCTGGCACAGGACCCGGACTCCAACGTGGCGTGTGGTACGATGACATCCATGATATTTCAGATGTTCATAAATGACATGATGTTGGCTTAGAAATGCTTGTTTTTACAAATATGGATCTAAGATTTAATGGTGTTTAGCTGGGCAGCTTGCACGTTCTATTTAAGACATTCCCAGTTAGTTTTTTTTAAGCACCTTTGAATGCATCTTGAATATTTGTGTCAAATTTAAATAAATTGAAATCATTTATGTTGAATAATTTGTCATATTTCTCCACAGGGTTTGATGTTTGGCTATGCCACTGATGAGTAAACCTGCATGAGTTTCTTTCTTCTGTTGAACACAAAAGAAGGTATTTTGAAGAATGTGGGCAAACAAACAGTTGCCGGTAGCCATTGACTTCTATAGTATTTTTTTGGTTACCAGCATTATTCTGTAGTGTGCTCACTTTCAGAATGATTCTTTGCAGCTGCTGAACGATAAAAACATCGACAGCCATCAGAATCCAGACTGTACAGAGTATGCCTTTATTCCTCAAAGGAGAAGTGTTTTCTTGGGAAAGAAGTGTATTAAAAATGTATGTAGATTTTAAAATTTGATTTAAAAGAAAAAACTAATTGCAGATCAGTGTTATTTTAGTGCCATTGATGCACTATTATCGGTTTTGTTAATATTTGTAATTAGACTTTATTGTTTCTATTTTCTGTTTTCTCTTTAATTTTAGTTTAAACTTTGGTGTTTTTGTCAATTGTATTTGTTTTTTAATGTGTCTATATGGTATTTAGGCCCTATTCATTTTTATTAATTAATTCACTTATTTAATTTCAAGTTTTAGTTTTAATTTATTTGATCTCTTGAACTAAATAAAAAAGGAAAATGTTAGCTGAAATAAATTGTGTACGTTTTTTTAATATTTTATTTTATTTCAGTTACATTTATTTTATTTTGAGTACTTTTTTATGATTTTGCTTTTTAGGTAACAACTTGCTAAGTAAAGTTTGTGAACAAACTTTGAAGTTGGCTTGAGAAAGCCTTGAAAGTTTGAAGCAGTTGTAAAAGCTTGACGTTTGAAAGTTTAGATAGATTAGACAGATTTTGATAGCATGTTGCTAACATGATTTAACACATTGCTAACATGATTTAACATGTTGTCAGCATGTTTAGTATGATTATCATGTTGTTAACATGTTGTTTGCATGTTTTAATGATGAGCATGTTTCTAACATGTTTTAGCATGATTAGCA